TAGCACATGTGGGCATAGAGGTATCTAAAGAAAACGGTGTTAGTGGGCTCAGATCATCTCATCCAGACACCCCCAGAGGGCAGGGAAGGGCTGCAGGGGATGGGGAAAGGAGAGAGAGAATTTGGTATTAAATAAGAACCAGGAACAAGAGGGGTGGAGTGGGGGATAAATAAATAAAACACAGGAAAAAAAACCCAGTCCCTCTATTCTCTCCTCCCCAACGTGGCACATTGGAACCTCTGCGCTGACACGGCTGCGAGCCCCATATACTCCTCTGTACAGAGCATATGGTGCTACGTTTAATAGCCCAGCTCTGCCAATTGGGGACTATTAGGGTGGGTTCTTTTCCCAGTGTAAATGTTGCAGAATATAAATTGTAATTAACACCGATGCCAAAATAGCACTTAGAGAAAATAAGCACATTATTAACATCTGGTGAATCCTGCCTGGAGTGCACAAGCAGCGGAAATTCTCACTTGCATTAAGAGGATTTGTAGAGGGGATGCTGAGCACAGGGCCACAGGTTTGGGGGAGTGGGGAAGGGAGATTTTTTTTTGGTCTCCTTACTGCTTCTTGAGGTACCGTCTTTCCTACCTGTGGCTGGTCTAGTTAGGATCGTCACTGCTGCTATTAGGAATGATTACCTGTGCCCATGAATCCACTCGAATGACCCCTTTTCAGCAGCTGCCCCAGATCTGAACAGGATCCAGCAGGTGCCACTGAAGCCACCAACAAGAAGGACACAGGAGCTGCTGGCTCCCTCAGCACCAGACCTCATGGAGCCATCCCTCATAGATGCACAAGTGCACATCAGAAGGGGAGATCCTGGGTCCAGGTGGGGAAGGGTTTATTTTGGAAACATTCAGGTGCCAGCAATAAGCTGATGCAGGACATCATTAGTGCATGGGATCCATCCCTTTATGCATGAAGTGGAGCTGGCTCCATACCTTTAACCCCTTTGCATTCCCTCTCCAGCAATGATATTGCAGGCAATGGGGATACAGGTAGAAAAGCATCCTTTGGCAGAGCTTCAAAAGTCCCTCCTTGCCTCTCCCCATTAATGCATGTGCAGGAAGGAAGCAAGCCAGCAGCTGTGCAGAGATAACATGGCCTCAGCTTGACAGGGCAGTGGCTTACATCCCTTCCTAGAAGTCTACCCCATCTGGGAGTTAGGGGATGCTGCAGCTTACCTTAGAAGAAGGCACAAAACAGATGAGAGACAGATACAGGATGGGTAGAAAAACTGGGAGTGCTAGACAATAAACAGTGGTAGGGCACTTGGCAAAAAGGGCAGTTACTCCTTTCCATGCTCTTGCTTAACCAAAAACCAAACCACAAGTCAGAGACGGTTCGAAAGTCCTATGTAGCACTGGAGCACCCTGCTAGCAGCTTGGCTGATGCTGTGCTGCAGGACACCTGCTTGAAGCAAGGGCACAAACTCACTTGACAGCATCTATTAGATGCATGGCCAGAGGCTTAACACTAGGTCCCCTTCTCTGAGCAGCTGGGCTTGAGGGGAAGGAAGATGTTAAATCCCCATTCCCCAGGGAAGGACAGGGAAAAGTCTGCAGAAAGGCTAAACTGTCCGACTGGAGCTCCTACCCACAAGGAGGAGTGCAAACATGCATGTACAGATTCATTTAGTAATGCATAGTTGCGCCGTTAGGCTTCTGCTGAGAGAAGTCTGGAAGTGCTCTGCAACTGTGCCCTACTTGTAGGTATTAGCTGGGGCTGGTCCAGCATTTAACATGCAGAACAGGAGCTTCCAGACTTATTTAGCCAGATGCTGGCAAATCAGCAGGGATCCTGGTTTTCTCTGATAAAAAGAATCCAAAATTCTCTGATTTAACAAAAAAAAAATTCACATTTTCCCGTGATTAAAGCAAAATGCCATTATATATTATTTGGATTGATAATGGCATTTTGTTTTAAATCATGGAAATACATGGATAGGGGGAGGGGGTTAAGTCAGGAAATTTGGATTTTTTTTTTTTTTTTTTTTAAATCAGAGAAAACCAGGATCCCCAGCAATCAGAGTAGGGGAAGAGCAGCTGAGGTTTGATCCATGAAGATGAAGTCTGCTTTCAAATCTATCCCTCTGAAATGATGACACGATTCCCAGGAGCAGCTGTGCACTGGACAGCACATGCAGCTATGGCACTACTGTGCGGGAAATACTGGGCAGGAAATGATGATGCCACCTGGAGAAATATTGGGTTTCCTTCCAGGAATGATGTCACAGCACATCTGCTTAGCTCATCATCACCAAGCATTCAAGAAACTCTAGTGGATAGCCTGTACCACAGAACCCTCCACAGAGCAGGATTTCCTATCGCCACCTGGAAAACTGACTCTAAGAACGTGCATTTTGGCATCTGGCACAGCTGTCTGCTGCTTCAGAAAGTGCTGGATAAATAAGGCAACCTGAAGATGTGACGCAGGCCATTACACACTCCTAATGACATTCAGTGGAGCAAGCGAGCCTATTGAAATGGCACTTGGAAAAATACTTCATAGGGTCTCTAAGCCAGCATGGACTCCAGCACACCGTGTGGAGACAGAGTAGGAACACCAGAGCCGCAGCTCCGCTGCACGGTGGAAAAGCCTTTTCACTGGGTTTAAAGCTCCGGTGACAGCCTCAGGATAGGTGGGCCCATGCCAGACACTTGCTAACACAGGGTTTGAGAAAGCAGATTTCCAAGACAAAACGAGGAATTTCTGCCGCCAAGGTCAAGCAACCAGAACACCAAAGAGCAAGGAGAACGTAACGATGGCTGCAAAATGTGAACAGTCATAATTGGTTATTAAAAACAGATTCTTTTCTCAACAGAAAATACGCCTAAATACACTTCACTGAACACGGGGCTATGTATGCATTCACAGCGCAAGAGAGATGCTGCATTTCACCTCAACAATACACCTTGGGGTCCACTTTAACTAAAGGGACATGAATGCTCCCCTGGAATCAGTCCTCCTCCTTGCCAATAACAGACTCAAGCAAAGGACAGGCACCAAGAAAACAACAGAGCATACTGCCAAAGTACACAGACAAACGCACCGGGCAACGAGAGGTGGAGGGAAAGGGAGTCCATTACATTAGCGTGGCTTACCTTAAACTAACACAAAGTAACAGGAATTCATTATTAACCGCAGGGAAATACACCCACATGGTTCCAGAGACCTCAAGACTGGATTTTCAGGTGTAAGCACTACCCGATACAGAGTCCGAGCTTTTTTGCTTTGCAATTGCACTGAGTTAAAGTGACTGTCCAGCATCCAGGCAGGCAGCCTCGAGGTCAGGAAGGGACAATGCAGGCCAACAAGAAGCTGTTTTCACAGGTTCGCTCCCACCGTCCCGCATGTGATGGCAGGGTCACCACCACAGGTTCGGAGGCTCTTCAGCCACTCTGCTTTTAAACAAGGTAATTTCGTCCAAGTGCATCATGGGGACATCTCTGATGACTTCGGTCAAGTCCTCATGGAGCAGAGGGAAAATGACGACATTTAATGCCGGGCGCTCGGCCTGGAAACTGAATCAGATACAAGTGATTAGCTGAGAGGCAGAGCTAATTCCCAATATGGCTTGCAAGGAGCTGGTACTGCAGGCACAGGGGGAAGGGGAGGCTCGCTCACAGTGAAGTGGACAGCCCGAACCCAGTTCTCCCACCTACATCTCATATGTGGATGAAGCAGCCCAGGGCCCACTGCAAAATGATGCGCTTGGCTGATCAGAAAGGAGTCCTGAGCTTGAGGGGACTGAGAAACTGCACCATGCAGGTCTTTTGCTGCTTTGTCCAAGGTATCCCTCCGCCTGGGAGCAGCAATTCAAACCCTCACTGCCACCGGTGACTTTTACAGCCAGTAAAAACGAGGACAAAGCTATGCAGACAAAGCTACACAGCATTTCCTCTAAGCCTGAGCTGGGATGATGGCTTGGGGTACGGCACAGGAAGGGAGAACACTACAACTGGAGGGGGGAAAAAAGGGAGAGGCTGAAAAGTTTTCAATCTGCAGGAAGATGTAGGGCACGTTAGCACAATACACCAGCAACAGCTTCATTTCCAAAGGCCACAGAACCTGTGACAGGTGCACACAGCCCCAGCTGGAGCAGGCACAAGCAAACCAAGACACCACTAGAATTTTGATTTCTGGCACTTTTGATGTGCTACACTTTTAATACCACTTTTTACAACAATCTTTCTTTCCCCCTGTAACTCTATCCCCTTCTGCTCCCAAATATTTTGCCGCTCCACTCTACCTTCGGCAGAGGACAACCATCACAGACCTTTAAACTGAGAGCGGGTTGATGTGACAACAGGAGACAGGAGCAGCAGGGTGGCAATTACAGAACAAGAGAAGAGAACAGCAGAGTTAAAACCATATACACAATGTTTGTTAAAAAAAAAAAATTAAAAAAAAAAGGCCGAACCCAGGCAGCAAGGGCTATGCACAACAGCTAGCCAAGGAAGAACAAGCTACGAAGGAAGGGAAATAAAGCGCTGTAAAAAAGAACAATATTCATAGAGGGACAGTGAAATCTTTTAGTGCTGGGTGGACAATGGAGAAATTCATGCCATACCCACATAGTTGGTGGAAAAGGTTTTAAACCACAGCTGTTGCTAGCAGGGCTGTGGCCATCTCTCTGAGGATTGCATGACCAGAGTTTACATCTTAGCTGTTTTAAACTAGACCAGACAGATCCAACTCACAGCATGAACCCACAGAGACCGAATCTAATTCAGCCTGTGCGCCGTGTCTGAACTGTAGAGTCCACTGGAGATGAAGCTTCTTGACAGCACAATTCTGAGCTTATCGATAGCACGGGAAGAGCTCCCTTATCATAGAAAGGCAGGAAGGGAGGGCCGTAGGGCAGCCCAATGTCCAGGTACTAGTAGCAGTAAAAATTAAAATCCAGGTGCTAGTAGTAATGCTATAGTAATTATGGACA